GGTTTTAGTTAAGTTGTTTGACATACTTTTGAAATACCCAGATGATATTATCAATCAAGTGATTAGATATATACCTCTAGAGTCCTCAGAGAGGTATGGACTATACTGTACATGTTTGGAAGACAACAGCAAATAGGAATTGAAACCAAGGGAATCAAATTAGCCAGAGTTCACTGGAGATGAGATATAAAAGTGAAAATAGAAGAAAACCTAGATTCCAGAACTACCAGGTTCCATTTATTTATTATTTAGGGGTCCACACCCAGCAGTGTGGACTACTATAGTGAGAGCAACTGCCAGCTCAGTGCTTGGGTGGGGGTGGGGGGTGTTGCTCCTAGAGCTGTTTTGGCTCAGTTGTGTTAGGGATAGAATCCAGGGAGAGTGCACAATCCACCGAGCCTACCCATTTCACAGACAACTAAAGGAGAATGTAATAAAATAGTCAGATTAAAGAGGGAGAAAAACAGGAAACTGAAAAAGGGAGATTGATATAGGGAGCCCAACTTTGTCAAATGATACAAAATGCCAGGGACAAAAGACCCTGTGAAAGCCCCACGGAGCTCCAAGTGCTAGGAGGACACCAGCTTTGATTGACTGAGGCTGAAGTGTGGGAGACAAGATAGGGAGGCTCTGACAATTCATTTCAATTGTTTAATTGTGTCAGGGAAGAGAGAGGATAGTGGCTAGGGCTAGTGATAGGGCTAGTAGATGACATTTTGGTGTTGTTTTAGAGCTGGAAGTGGCCTCCCTATGCTTAAAAATCAATGGAAAGTGCCCAACTGAGAGTAGAGTTGGAGATCAGGGAGAGAAGAATGAAGCTTACTGAAAGGATGACTAAAATGCAAGAAGGGCTGGAGTGATAGCACAGAGGGTAGCGCATTTTCTTTGCATGTGGCTGACCTAGGTTCGATTCCCAGCATCCCATATAGTCCCCCGATCACCGCCAGGAGTAATTGCTGAGTGCATGAGCCAGGAGGAACCCCTGTGAATTGCCAGGTGTGACCTCCCCCCCAAAAAAAAGAAAAAGAAAAAAAATGCAAGAAGGAATAGGAATCAGATCAGATCAAAACAGGGTAGGTGGGGCTGGAGCAATAGCACAGCGGGTAGGGCGTTTGCCTTGCATGCGGCAGACCCAGGTTTGATTCCCAGCATCCCATATGGTCCCCTGAGCACCGCCAGGAGTAATTCCTGAGTGTAGAGCCAGGAGTAACCCCTGTGCAACGCCAGGTGTGACCCAAAAAAGCAAATAAAATAAAATAAACAAAAACAAAAGAGGGTAGGCATTTGACTACTGGGGGCTCTCCTTGAACATTTATTTTTAACTTAAATATTTTAATTTAATATATATAGAAAAGAATGCTTAAACAAACTTGTAACTCAATGCATTTATATTGAATATTCATATAAACCAGAGAAGAATATCACTTTGCCAGTCTTCCACCATGGATTTGTTGGTAATTACTTTATGTCCTTCACAGCTAGCATTTTTTGGTTTAGTTCTTCCATCGCTCTTTATGTCCTCAATATTATTAAATTTTGCAGGTTTTTTTAATAAAATTTTATACAAACATAATTATATCAAAGACTCTCCTACACCCAGCAGTGCATAGGGTTTACTCCTGGCTCTGTGTGCAGGCATTTCTGCTAGAGGATTCAGGGGACCATAAGTAGTGCTGGGAATCAAACCTGGGTTCGAGGCAAGGGTTTTATCCCCTTTTCTCTCTCTCCAGACCCCCAAGATTATTTCATGCTTTTACTCAGGTACATATATGTTTTAATTTGGGGGAACACACGCAATTGTGCTCAAGGCTTACTCCTGGTTCTGAATTCAGGGATCACTTTTGGCAGGGCTCAGGGAACCATACTGGATTCTGGGGACCAAACCTGGGTCAGCTGCATGCAAGACAAGAGCCCTATCCACTCTACTTATGCCCAGTCCCTATATATATATATATATATATATATATATATATATATATGATTCAGCCATGTTTTGCTGTACTTCAATCATTTTTAATCCTGTAAAATATTCCATAGAAAGTACATATCACTCTTCATGTATCCTTTCTACCATTAGTGGATATTCGAGATGTTTCTTGTTTAGAGTTATTACAAAAATGCCCAGTGAACATTCCTGTACGTTCTGGTGCACATGTACATAAATTTCTCTTGGGAACACTACAAACTGAATATTTGGGCCATAGAGTATGTGTACCTTCTGCTTCCATAGGTGATACCAAACTTTTCTAAAGTGGGTGCACTATTTTTTGTTGCTGTAAAACAAAATGCTCAACTTTATTAGAACTGAGATTTAAAAGCATCGTCATTTTTAATATGTCACAGCACTATCTTACTGAAGCAAGGTCTATTTTTAGAGGTAAAGTCTTAACTGCCCCGTTTTGGGCTGCTTCAGAGTTTCTTTCTCAGCATGATTTGTTACCAGTAGATTGCTATTTCGTTTATTTTATGTATTTATGTATTTCTTTATTTATTGTTTTTTGGGTCATGCCCAACGGGGCTCAGGGCTTGCTCCTGGTTCTGGATTCAGGGATCAATCCTGGTGGGGCTCAGAGGACCATATACGGGGGTGCCGAGGATCAAACCCACATTGTCATGTGCAAGGCAAGTGCCCTGCCTGCTGTGCTATCACTCTGCTCCCTCGCTTATATATCTTGGCTAATAAAAATTGTTTTAGTTGAAATATATTTAGAGAGGGGTTTGATCCCTCTGTATACTCTTTCCAAATTTTCTAACTTTTTTCTAACTAAGTTAGAAATAGTTTTTCTATTTCCAGAAAACAATTCTAAGGTGATGGGAGTTATTACTGTGATTCTCATTGTAGTTTCTTCTCCTCCACCCCATCTTTCTTTCTTGAGTGGGGGCACACCCAGCGGTGCTGGGGCTAACTCTTCGCTCTGTACTCAGGGAGCACTACTGGAAAGGCTCAGGGGACCGTATGTAGTGGCAGGGACTAAACCCATGTCAGTTGTGTGCAAATGCTTTTTCCACTGTATTACTTTTTTGCTGCTTCTTCCTCTTTCTTTTCCTTCTCCTTTTCTTCCTCTTCTATGCTTGACTGTGTTCAGGGATCACTCCAGGTAGGGCTGAAGGGACATATGGGGTGCTGGGAACCCAGCCAGGGTTGGCCACATGTGAGGCAAGCACGTTACCTGCAGTACCATCTTTGGTCCCATGCGATTTTGTATTATTTATTGCATGCAAACTAAGGTTAAATGTGTTAGTACCTGATGGTGAAAAAAACTGCATAAAACTAAATATAGACTCAGAAAAATGCGTTTAAGACTATGGAAATGTGAGTAAATGAAATCTGTGGATGGTATTGTCCTCTCCAGATTGTGATATTTGTGTTTGTGTGTGTGCGCGTGTGTTTGTGTGGGGGTGTTAGTTGATTTTTGTTTTAGGGTCACACCTGGCCCTGGTCAGGGTTCACTCCTGGCACTCTGCTCAGAGATCACTCCTGGTGGGACTCCAACCTGAGCTGGCCCTGGGCAAGGCAAGTGCAAGGCAAGTGCCTAACCCCAGGACTATCTCTCTGTGATGACACTGAAGTTTTGGAAGAGATTACCACAGGGGAGAAACTGAAAAATGTTAACAAAGAATTTCTCTGTATCGTTCCTTTTAAAACTGCAGGTGAGACTCCAACTCAACAAAAATTGCGCTAAAAATACATTAGTGTAAGTTGTTTTTAGAAAATGTACTATAGAAAGTCACATTGGAGATCCCCCAGTCATTCATATTGAGCAAACCCCCGTCCCGCGCCACACCTGATACTCTGATGGAAATGAAATCGCAGATTTCAGTGATCCCAGAGTTAAGACTGTTGTCCCCTACATAGAGTCAACTTTTCTCAGCTAATTTCTTTCTTTCTTTTTTTTTTTTTTTGGTTTCTGGGCCACACCTGGCGATGATGCTCAGGGCTTACTTCTGGCTCTGCACTCAGGAATCAATTCTGGTGGTGCTGGGGTGAGGAGGGCGGGCACACTCCATGGGATGCCCAGGATTGAACCTAGGTTGGCTGCGTGCAAGACAACCACCTTATCACCCGCTGTACTATTGCTCTGGCCCTCAGCTAACGTCTGATTTACCCACTAGGTCTACTACTGTCCATTTCTATCGGTACCTCCGAAGAGAATATTAGTCATTCTTTTATTCCAGGCGGGCGGACACACACACACACACACACACGCATACAGAGTGAGTGACGCGAAGAAACATTTTAAAACTTAGGGAGTTAGGGAGCTTTCCATTTTTCTCGAAAAGTGCACGCCGCGGGGAGGCGTGCATCGAACTTCTCCGGCGCTCAGGGCAGGGTAGTTCCGAGTCCCGTAGCCACCCTTTCTTTGCTCGGCTGAAGGTTTTCCTGGCCCGCCAAAGGGCCGACTGGGACCGAACTTCGACTCAAGTGGGAAGAGAAGCGAAAGACAGGCGGCGGGCTGGGGAAGCCGGAGAAGGCGTCCGCCGCGCGGGATGAGCCACTACCTGAATTTGGAGAAAAGAAACTTCCCCGCGCCCCGCTTCGCGCGTTTCGCGAGTCCCGGAGCAGAGAAGCGCAGCGCCCGAAGCCCGGGGCTCGCCGAGTCCTCGGCGCGGGCGCCGCCACCTCCGAGCCGCCCTCCCGCCGCCCGCCCCGCCCAGCTCGGGACAAAGCCCGGAGCCCGAGCCGGGAGGCGGGAGGGCGGCGCCCGCGCGCGCCCCGCTCCCCCGTGGGCGCCCGGACTCCGCCCCGCCGGCCGTCCGCGGGGAGCCCGCGCCCCAACGGCGAGGCCGAGCGCGCGCGGCCCGCCCCGAATCCCCATGACGTCACCGGCGGCGGCAGGCCCCGCCCCCGGCCTCGGGCGGCAGGCCGCATGACGTCACCGAGGCCCCACCCCTCCGGAGCGAGTTCGGTCCTGGCGTTCATTTCATTCCTGTCCTCATTCCGAACATTCTTAGCATCGCTCGCGCCGCGCCGCGCCGCCCGAGCCGAGCCGAGCCTCTGCCGCCGCCGCCGCGGCCCCGCCGCCCGCCGCGGGCGCCCACCAAAGCACTTTGCAGACTCGCTTCCACCCTGCGGGCCAGTCCGCGCGGCGGGGCCCGGGCCCGGGGCGGCCGCGTTCCGGGGACAGGCCATGCAGTGAAGCCCCCGCTCCCCCCGCAGCCCCCCGCGCCCCACCGCCCCGTCCACCTTTGCCCAGAGCCGCGGGCAGCAGCCCCGCGCGGCGCCTCGCCGGTCCCGGGGCAGGAGCGGTTCTAGGCAGGGTGGGGTGGCCCAGCCCGGGGACCGGGAGCCGGGGAGGGCGCCGGGCACCGAGCGCAGGGCGGGGGAAAGCGGCGCCGAAGTTTGCCGCGGACTCGCCGGGCGCCGCGGCCGCTGTCTTCGCCGAGGTAAGTTGGCGCGCGGGGCTGCTGGTGGGGGGGGGGGGGTCCCGGGGGTGCCGGGGGGCGGGGGGCCGGCAGCGCGTCGACTTCGGGCCGCTCTTTCTCCCGCGGCGTGGCTTTGTGTGCGGCGGGCGGGCGGGCACGCGGAGGGGCCGGGGCCGGGCACCCCCCGCTCCCGCCTCCCCGCGCCCCCTTCAAGGTGAGCGGCCCGGCGCGGCCGCGCGAGTTTCCCCGCACGCCAAGTTGGGCCGCGCGCTGCGGAGCCCGCGCGGCAACAGGCGGCCCCCGCCGGCGGCCCGGGAGGCGCCCCCCGCGCGCGCCGCCGCACGCACCCCCGTCGCTCCCTCGCACCCCCCGGCCACTTTGCACGGGGTTTTCTCGGACTGGTCTGAAGTTCGGAGCCAGCGCGGGCGGGGAGAGCCGCGCCCGCCGCCTCGGAGCCCGCAGCCGGCCAGACCTCCTTTCCCGCCCCCTATAACCTCCCTCCACCCGCCCAAAACTGCGCCTCTCCGACCGCCGCGGCGCCCGGGGTCCCCCGAGGCCGGCTGGGGGTCTGCGCCGACTTGTGCTGCTGGCGGGGGCTTAGCTCCTTCTGCTCCAAGATGAAAGGAGGCACGGCGGTCTTTGCCGCTTCTCCAGGACTGTTGCTGCTGCCGCCGCCGCCGCCGCCGCCGCCGCCGCTTCATTGCACATTCAAGTGGAAAATTTTTAGGAGTCAGCAGAAACATTGTGTCCAAAAAAGACTGACTCGCTCTTACCACTAAACCTTGGAGGAGACTCTCCCTGGAAAACTTCCCTTCGGTAGGAAATACTGGGGGATTTGTTTGTTTATTGGAAGAGAAATGATCCCCAGGAGAGGGGAAAAATCAGGGTGCACTTCTAGTCTTTGTTCCTATCTGCAACACTTGTTTTCAAAAACTCCAAAGGCCCGCTTTAAAGAAGTTCAACTTCCATGATTTTTTTTAAAAAAGTGTATTTTTCTTAATTAAAGCAACATTTTTAATAAATTGAAAACAATGGGAGGCTCACACCTCCCTTATTCTCACCCCACGAAAAATAAATAAAATCCAGATCTTAATTTTCTTTGCTTTTTAATTGTCTTTCTTTTTAAAGATTTATTTAAAGTTGAGTGGTGTCACTGTATAAAAATATTTATGAAACAATGAAATGCCAGCCACCAGCATTTCTCAGGAGGCTTGTTAACTTCTCAGAAGCAAGTGGCTGCCTGTGATTTGCAGAAATGAAAATTGACCTCAGTAAGCACTGGAAACTTAGGGACAGATGATGTTCCAGGAGTAGGTAGTGTAAAAAGCCCGTGTTTTTAAAACACTGCCTTAGAGAACCCAGAGCCCCGAACAGATTAAGTCTGCAAAACTATCAGGCTTCAGAATAGTAAGAAAAGATGTTTAAAATGCTATAGACACTGCAGAAAAATAGAAGGCATTCCATCTTGGACAAGCCACCCAACGTGTTTTTAATTTCTCATCCTACACCTGTATTGCTTAGCGACATTTGCAGTGGTCTGATGGCTCATGGTGTGCCTGGGGCCTGCAGGTTAGATACCTGGATGTCTCCTCACCAGGTATCATACCCCCATATTGGGCATTGTCAGAGGCGGGAGTGCTCCCTTTCCTCTGCAGCACCCTGCAGTAGATCTTACTGGTCTCTCCTTCTCAGTAGCTTTTTCCCCCCTGGGGTAGTACCAGAGGCAGTGGTTGGGATACTGAATTCAGGCTGGCCTAGTGTTTTATCCTGACAGGGTCAGATTGGTGGTGCCGGGTGAGCAGGAGGGTCTTGGGGCTCATGCACATCTGAATACATAGAAGGGCTAGACTTAGATCCAACTTTGGTAAGGCTCTTTCCTCTTTAGAAGGAAATAGTAGAACTAATAACAGGGTGACTCGGGAAAGACAGATGGATTAGTTGAACCTTTGTCAACATCGAGGTTTGGGATTGTTGATTTTTTTTTTCAGGGAAAGGCTTATTTTTCTAATCTCACTATTTCCATAAATGGTCACAGATATTTTTGTTTAGTATTTCTTTGTACAGCTCCGTGTTGAACTCTCAGGTTTCAGATTTTAAACAAGAGTTTACAATTCTTTTATTTGCTGTTGGTGTACAAAAAAAAAAGAAAAGAAAAAGAAAAACCTGATAAGTGATATCCATTTACTGGTTCTTGCTGATGGTATAAAAGTACCAGTGTAAAACCATTTTATTTATATTTTAATAATAATAAGTATCTTATCCTCAGAGTTAGCAGTACATTAGAATACCATTTCTTTTTCATTTTCCCAAGTTTGAAACAAGGAAATCAGTGTGCCACTTTGCCTTTTACACTTTGTAAAAATCTAGAAAGGAATCTCCCATAGATTTCTTCCTCTGTGTGATCTCTTTAAAGTGAGAAGTAGGACTCTATCCAGAAAACATGCCTGAGAGAGATATTGGAAGTTAATTTTTTTTCCCTTTTCCCAAAACATAAACTAGGACTCACCACAACGTATATCGAATGAAATTTAATTTAAAGAGGGAGGGCAACTAAAGTGAATTTAAGCCAAATAGAAATGAATTTCTCACCAAGAGGTGGTACTTCCTTGGATTGTGGTACAGTTTGTGCCCCAGCAGCAAACTAATTACAAGTAAGGGTGTGTGTGTGTGTGTATGTGTGTGTGTGTATGTGTGTGTGTGTGTGTGTGTGTGTGACACACGTGTGCATGCGGGGAGGGGATACAGCCTGGAAAGTCAGCTTCCTTCTCTCTCTCTCTTCATTTCCCCTGTTTTGCAAGAATTATATATTCATTACTTACTCACTTATTTGGAGGACTGGAAAAAAGGAAAAGCAAGTCATCAGAAAGATGTTTTTGTTGTTGTTTGAGCTTCAGTCTTTAATAAATTTTGAATTTTGCTGGTTCTGACCATGTAAACCAGCAAGTGTAAGTTAAAGGACTTTTTCCTAATGAGAAAATTGGAGAAAATCTACTTGTAGTTTATCATTGGTGTCTAGATTACATTTGTAGTTAAAATTTCAGTAGAAAAAGATGCAACAGAGATACAGAATGTATAGCCCAGTTGCTTGATAGGCCTTAGAGAAATGAGCTGTGCCATTAATGATACTTGAAATGGATTAATTTACAGATCCATGGCAGTTAGTTGTATTAAGAACCTGTGTATCTGTGGGATTACTCCTCTTTAATCTCATGTGCTAATATGTGTTAATTGTGAGCATAATTATACTGCCTGCAAATGAATATTGTGTTTTATTGCTTAAAATGTTGGTGCAAATAACTGCATGTGTGATACATATATGTAAAACATGTAAAACAGCCATCTACAGAAGGCAGAAGATAGCACATTTAAGCTTATTTTAGGCATGTTATGTCGTTCCCAATAGATTATAAAAGAGGAAAAAAATTGCTGGGTGCAAGCATCACTTAGAGGTAGGATCTATTTAGAGATGAAACTTTTTGAGTGTTTTCTTAAAATACTGAAGAAAACTGGCCAGAGCAAGTGTCCAAGTCTCTCCGTATTACTGCAAGAAAATCAGGGACTCATCTCTCTGTTGATAAATGCTTCCTTCCCTTTGAGGATTCGGTGACTGAAACTGAAGAGTCCTGTCTTGCTCTGAACTCTGCAAGAGAAGTGTATGGTTAGCTTACTCTCCTTTGACAAACTTAGACCCTGCTCTTGGCAGCTACTTAGGGCTGACCCATGGCTGGAGTAATCTTTTAGAGCTGCGGGGCGCCTTTTAAAATTTTATCTGTAGAAGCCGCAGATTATCTTGTGGTATTTAAATTAGATCCCAAATCATGTTTGAGCAATTCAGTGATGTCTTACATTCTTTCATATTCACAAGGGTGATACAATCAAGTAATTCAGGTCCATCCCTGGTACTTCAGGGTTGGCTTTTAAAAATACCCAATTAAAATACCAATTTTAGAACCTGTTGTTTTTCAGTTAATAACTTTATATTTTTGAATCTGGGAAATTCAGAATCATTTTCTTGGATAGTTTTGGATATGCTAGAATGTATGAATCTAAATATCTGGAGAATTTGGATATGTGTTTTGTTTTAAAGCTATTTAAAACAAAGTATTTAATTTATTTTTTTAATTTGTGAATTATTGAGAGTCTTCAATTTGAAAAGTCTTCTCATCAGAAATGTCTTTGATTCTGATCCATATTTGAACTGATATCTGAAATGCAACCATTTTTACAGATATAGCTGAGCTTTCTGATGGGGGAGGGTAAGGGAATTTGAATGGGTGTATTTTTATTTCAGGTATAGCAGATAGCATGCCCCAAAGAGTGCGTTTCTAGAATGATATTTCTTATAGAATGGGTCACCTGGAACTTTGAAATTTGCCCTTTGCCCACTGACTTTTAGCATGTTTGGGAGGGTTCTTAAAACATTGTTTTCCATAGTCTCAGAGCATTGGCTAAATGAAACCCTCAGTGTCTTGTTTCTGATTGGATTGGGACAGGCAAGGGAGTATCTTTTCCACTTTTCTAGCAGGTTGAAGAATGAATCCATCCTGACTATATTGTTTCCACTCCCCCCCCCCCCCCAGTTATTTAAAATAAATATTTTCTATATGGATGCAGTGCTTTCTACTCCAGTTGTAGTTTGAAGGTTAGAGCTTAGTACAGGAAAATGGGTATAAAAGAAAAGAGAATTTAAGGAACTAGACAGATAGTTCAATCAATAAAGCGCTTGCCTTGTATGTGGCCAACCTGGGTTTTATCTTTGGCATCCCATATGATCCCCTGAGCACTGCCAGTAATGATTTCTGTGTGCACAACCAGGAGTAACCTCTGAGAATTGTCAGGTGTTTCTCCCCCCCCCCACAAAAAAAAAGAAAAGAGAATTTATTAATGAACCTGATAAAACACCCATCATCTCCAGTGAGAAATTTTGGCTTCTGACATTTGACAGGTTTTGATACAAGTCTAAAGTGAATGAAATGCCACTCACTGGGAACTATACAACAATGACGTGTGCTGTTGTTTCT